CCCCCCAATTCAGGCCTCAAAGGCCCCACTCATCATGTGCTTCATCTGTTCTTTGAACCTTCCTTTAATGCCCGCCAGGCAAGCATGCTCTTCCTCATGCGTACATATCTATACATTTATTTTTAAATGATCACACACTCATCAAACAAGGCCAGCCGAATGATCCAGCCTCCATGTAGTCACCATAGTCACCCATCTCACTCTTCACGCATCTATATGTCCGTCTATCCATTGGTTCTTCTGGATTCCCTGCCTGTGTCCGTCTGTATCAACGACTCTGTCTGTCAATGGACACTTTCCTCGCCTCTGCTGTATACACACCGGTCTGTCTATCTCTCTGGTTGTTTGGTGTCTTTTGCCACTTTTCTTTATGCTAAATGAATCAATCTAGTCAAGCGCTGCTCTTAACGAGCTCGCAGCACATTTCTGCGACTTCGTTTAGACAACACTTGCCCAGGCTAAACCTTGTCCCCTCTCAGCCGCCCAGTTGGACGTCATCGATAAGATCCGGCTGCCCTGTAGTCCATACTCATTCGGGCATAAAATTGCCGCGCAAATGTGAATTGCTTTTTGTTTTGTTTTTTCTTGTCGAGAGGAAAAAAAGAATTCACAAATTCACTCTGGCTAGAATGGGCCGAGACTCCGGGCCGAAGGGAGGAAGTTGAGGTGACGGGCGAAGGGTCCACTCGGCCCGGACGAACAATGTTGGTCAGAGGCATTCGAAGGAGACCGTGTCCTCTCTTCCGAGTAGGCCAATATGTCCTGGATTATCTGATCATCATAATTCCGGTCTCGACATGAACTCGAGGGCGTGAAATAAGCTCCCCTCTCGTTTTTGCCCCATAAATATTTACGTCATAATTGCATTCAACTTTGTCCGGCTAATGATAGAAATGCTGCTGCTGCTGCTGATGATGATGATGATGGCGATGGTGGTGGTGTGATTATGCACACTGACCTCAGCGTAAGTGATGACCTTATTGGCCAAACAAAGATCGGAACGTGAGGCTTTTCTGTGTAAATATGTAAAAAAGTAATGATGACCTAGCTTGACGTTAGGAGGAGGAATACGTGCAGCTCAAGGTTGTGTTCTGGGGACACTGGAACCGCAGAGGTGTGTACATTGCACAGACTCAAAGTCGGGGTGCCCATGGTGTGAGGATAAGGGCATGGTGATAAAAGCCGGCTGGAGAGAGAACGGAAAGTGAAGCTGGTATTTCACTATTCGGTCCTGTGGCGACCGATTCTGTGCGTGTCTATCTGTCCGTTTGCCGACTTGCCTTTAGGCCGGCTCGAGTCGCGGCTAATTCCTAGACTCATAGGCTCGGCGATGTGAAATGATGATTAGGCGAGGGGTGTCTTGGCCACGGTCAGAGCCGAACCCGGCTCTTCGGGGCCAACAGGCGTCTACAGCCGAGGTGGCAGAATTGGCGGCGTAATTGTCTAATATCCTAATCGCGATGATAATCTCCCATCTTCCCTTTCACAATGAGCTCGTCGACATCAACTGGGGAAATAGGTATAGGTTTCGAAACTCTACTCAAATACGAAAAATACGTCTCGATGGAGACGGGAACGGAGAGGTGTTGGACTCGACGGTCACATTTTCGTGCTTAAACAATTTGGAATGGGAGGTATTGACATGAAAGAGCACAACTAGCAACACTTTGATATCCTCAGAGTTGCCCTTGAGCACAAATAGCTCAGCTATGTTAAGCTAAACCGTTTACACGATTCAGGGGAAAACGATTAGGTAAACTTCCAATGGTTGTGATATAAATGCATATTAGAAAAATGATTTTAGAGTACATTTCATTACAATAATCTACCATAGGCATAGACAAGAAAGGCGACCAACTGCTATTCTTCGTATAAATATACAGTCACAGCTCCAAGTCAATGTGCTTTTGTGTTCGTGTGAGGCCAACCTGCGAATACCTTCCACTCACCTCGTGAAACGATGTATAATAATGTGTTTTTTAGGCTTTGACATAATATGAAATGTATTCCCCCTATTTCGTTCAAGGTGATGAAGGACTGGTAGTAGAATTTTGCCA